AAAAGAAAAATGGCCGTGGATGGACAAACGGCCAGCTGGACACAAACAGGCAGATGATGGACAAACGGACAGGGAGGGACAGACGCCCCCCACCTTGACGGAGTAGGCCAGCGAGATGGTGACGGCCAGCGGGAGCCCCTCGGGCACGGCCACCACCAGCACGGTGACGCCGATGATGAAGAACTTGACCCAGTACTGGACGTAGAGCGGCGCGCACTCGGCCAGCCAGGGCCGGCCCTGCACCACGAAGGTCTCGATGACGAAGTAGAGCACGAGGATGATGACGGTGATGGCCGACATGGCCAGGCCTGCGCGGGGACACGCTCAGGGCACGGCCTGGGGACGCCGTGTCCCTGTCGCCCCGTCGGGGGACGCCAGGCTCTCCGGTGTGTGCGGTCACGTGGGTCACTTTGGGCTGCTTGGTTCTTGTTGGGGGTACCCTGTGTGCTTGTCACCCCCGTGTCCTTGTCCCTACCCTGTGTCCTTGTCCCCACCCTGTGACCTTGTCCTCACTCTGTACCCGATGTCCCCACCCTGTGTGCTTGTCACCCCCGTGTCCTTGTCCCTACCCCGTGTCCTTGTCCCTACCCTGTGTGCTTGTCACCCCCCGTGTCCTTGTCCCTACCCACCCTGTGTGCTTGTCCCCCACCATGTCCTTGTCCCCCATCATGTCTTTGTCCCCACCCTGTGCCCGATGTCCCCTCCCTCAGGACATGTCCCCAGCCCCCTGTCCCCTCCTCTGGGGACCCCAGCCCTCAGGACATGTCCCCAGCCCCTGTCCCCTCCTCTGGGGACCCCAGCCCTCAGGACATGTCCCCAGCCCCTGTCCCCTCCTCTGGGGACCCCAGCCCTCAGGACAGGTCCCCAGCCCCTGTCCCCTCCTCTGGGGACCCCAGCCCTCAGGACAGGTCCCCAGCCCCTGTCCCCTCCTCTGGGGACCCCAGCCCTCAGGACATGTCCCCAGCCCCTGTCCCCTCCTTTGGGGACCCCAGCCCTCAGGACATGTCCCCAGCCCTGTCCCCTCCTTTGGGGACCCCAGCCCTCAGGACATGTCCCCAGCCCTGTCCCCTCCTCTGGGGACCCCAGCCCCACCTGCCTTCCCGATCTGCACGGCCAGCTGGGTCAGCTTGGCCTGGAGCACGGACTTCTCCTTCTTGGGGCCACCTCGGGGGCGCGTCCCCGGCCCGTCGCCGCTGTCCCCTCCCTCGGCGCTCTTCAGCGGCTGCATCTCCATGGCCACCGCCCCGTCCTGCCGCTTGCCTGGGGACACCGGCCACGTGGCAGGGGGACACGGGGGCCACGCGGGGAGGGGGCTTTGGGGTGTTCCCCACCCGACCCCAAAGCACCTTTGGGTTGTGGGGTGTCCGCGGCGCCATCCTGGGGCTTCCCTGTGGGACAAAGCGGGGTGGGGACAGCCCGGAATGTGACCTGGGGGGGACAGGGAGAGCCCCCGGGTGGGGACAGGGAGTGGGGGTGGCAC